AGAAGGAAAGATAGAAAGATAGAAAGAGAGAGTAGTCATAAAGGTGAGTTTTTACGCGGGTTTTTACGCGAGCCACTTTATCGCCCTTAATGTCCGTCCTTGATCACCAATGAGTGGGAGATCCGGGAATAAAAACTTTGACTGTAAGTGTCGGTGTGAACGTGCAAGGGTGAATCGCAGTTCGGAGTAACCGTGAGTACGGAATGTCTCCGCGACGATATTGCTCGGTGCTACACCTAATTTGCATGTTTACATCACTCCGGGGTCGTGCCTGATTACGTTGTTGGCGAAATTGCCACGTTTAATAACGGAATTTGCAATATTAATTGCGACACCAGCAATATCCACCTGCACGACTGTTTTACGTTACTCGTAATCGACATTTTGCGCGCGCGGCATCGACCACGAATACGGGGATAACTAATTAATTAGCATCACTGTTATAATGACATTAAATGCTGTAACACCTATTCATCTCCTGAGAATAGTGCGCTGTTCAAACTAACTAACAGAGAACAGCGAATAATATTTCGAGACGAGACCAAGTGGACGTTTCGCATCAGCCAGCATGATATCGCTCACTCCGCGTCATATTAGGCGCGCGTTCCGCGGTACAGTCTGTAGAAAAAATTACATACCTGATATCGATGACTGTACGGACTGATCGGCGATGGCAGGAGAATCTTCGAGAATCTCTGCGAGCTCCGAGATGACGATGATAACGATGATCACAGGAGATTACGGAGGACCGAGCGTTGGATAATCTTTTTGTCGTATGCGTGCGACACACAATAATGTTCACAACAAATTCAGGCACAATCAAACGACAGTCACGCTGCCGGCTTACGGCCGAACGATCCCGAGAGTCGACGCAAATCTCTCGCGCGATCTCGAAAGAAAAACGGTTATTATTACAAGAATTCTTATTATTATATCTCGATCGAAGATGTCGTGAATGTGCTAATTGCGCTCGCTCGTTCGTTCGTTCGTCCCGGCTTCTCGACCGCCCTCACACGACACTACCAACACCCACGAAACACGACAGTCGACTGACGCGGAACGGATGCTGCGACCGGTATACGTAGCGTAGCCTTGCCGCGCGCGCTCCCCCACCACTTGCTCCCCCCCACCACTACACTATGTCGCAAGCGCCGGTCCGACTCGCGCTCCGGTCTTCGCATTCGCGCGACTCACGTTGCAGTGAGCGCTTCTATTCTCGTCTCTGTTGGCATATCGCTGCGGCCAGCGCTCTCTCTCTCTCTC